GATTTTGGCCACTTCGGCTTGTGTAAATCGTCAGATTATATTATTCCCGTGATCCTTGATTAATTTCCTTCAAAATAAAAAAAAATTTAACCGCGCTTGAGAAAATCCATGTTACGTTTTTTTTTTTGCAACTTTGTGACTCTCCCATTTCCTTACGTCACGCTGAAATCGTCAGATTATTGAAATCTACACTTTTCTACATGTAATTAACACACATTACCTTAATCTGACGCGCTCGAGTTTTTTGAACGATCGATTTTTTTTTACTAATCTGACGGGCTCCCCTGGACACCCGGCTCTATATAGAGGTTTAATATTTGGTGGGGGGTACTTATTAGGGTGCAAGCTTTCCCCCTTTATGTTATTCTGACGCGCTCGAGTAAATCCCAAAATCCCCGGTTGGCCTCCCCTACTACAATGTTTAGTGATATTTTAGTCTCTAGGAGATAAATTCTTCTATTAGATATTGGATTATATCATGTCGAATGTTTGAAGCAGCGTAAATCTTGCACAACTGTTTTTGAATCGTAAATCGCGCAGATAGTCTGACTTTAAACAAAAGAAGTCTTAGTTACGAGCACGTTAGTAATGAGGTAATTAAATGGCGCGTTTCGATTGGTTCGCTCCATAGCTGCCCACGCTACGATTGGTTCGCTCCATGGCTGCCCGCGCTACGAATAGTGAGGGAGAGGGCGCGTTGAGTGAGAGAGAGTGAAAGTGAAAAACCGCCAAGTCCGAGAAAATGGTGGAGGTGGAGAAAATAGGTCCCCGAGACAGTTTTTTGCCAGGGGGTGGAGGGGGGGGGAGGGGGAAAAGTTCAGGCTTCGAAGAGGAATGCGGATATGATTTATGGCCCTTCGTTTTTTTCGAACCTCGGCGTCCTGGTTAGAGAGAGTCTTCCTTTATCGCTTATTTATTTTTCTATTATTTAATGCCGTGCGATCGATTTTTTTGTCTGGAAGGACAGGAGGAAAACAGGAATGGGCAAATTCGTGCCTGATTGTAACAGAGCTGGGATGATTTACTCGGTTTAGTGGATAAATTTTTTTTTACCCTTTATGTTAGCGTTAGTCTTATTTCGAAAAAAATGACAAAAGTTGTTATTAATCTAGTTCTGACAAAAATATGAAAAAAGAAGATGTCGGTTGGAAGGGAACGAATGATTAAGAAACAAACGAGAGTTTATGATATAAAGATGTATTTATTGATACAAATTTTTCTTCATAGGAAAATACATATAAGAATAATCTAAAAACGGCTTAGAACCATTAAGCGAAAGATTCACGATTCGAGAGGATTATATAAGAAATTTCATTGTACCGCGCGCGCGCGCGCGCGCAATGAAATTAATTCCAAAAGTATTATATTAAAATACATATCAAGAAAAGTTAAATCTTTAATTTGTGTACGTACATTGCGCTCAATTTCGTCGTAATTTCCCCGTAGCGTTAATTTTATAATTTCCTGATTAACATAACTTACAGGAAGTTTCAGTTCGATTTCTCAAATTAAATTCTGCGCGCACTTGTTAACATTATCGGTTAAAGATTCTAATTTGTTTTAAATGCGCGTCGACACATTTCACAATGTTTTGCAGATCGAGAAAGGTAGTCTTCTGCATTACAATAGCCACCGCGAAGGTTCTGCGTTTCTTCGACGGCGGCGTTGAATCGGATGCGACCTCTTCTTTTCGGAGATTCCCGCTGATATTTTTCATCGAACGAAGTTCCTCTTCTTCGTCTTTATACGCCAATAATATTGATTTCGCACCGTAAGATGTGGTAAAACTGATAGAGATATTTTTTATGACAACAGAATTCGTTTTCGTTCGGTTATCACTAACTAGTTAAATATTCGTTCGTGTAGCCCATGTTGTCTTGAAACTGTTTCCAACTGTCGGTGTCGAAATAAATACCGTCAGCATTGTTTTCGCTCAATTTTACAAGAGGCTTGAAGATTCCCTCGTTCGTTCTTTGCAGACCCACATGAATCGTCTTCGTATGAGAATTGTTGAGACCATACGTTGTCGTAAACAGCATATGAAATCGTGTGTTTCTTCCCACGTCGTTGTTAGGCGGCTTGAAAGAATTCGGGTTGGAGTACATTTGCTCGTCTGAATTATTGGCGACTTTTAAGCTGTCCATTATTCTTACTTCGCTGTAGCACCAAACGACACGATTAGTCCAAGATGGATGGGTCAAAACTAAGAAGTACAGTACTTGCTTGCTTGCTTACGAAGTTGGAGCTAGGAACGACGAAACTCGAATGAAGCGGACTCGTGACGCTATCGACGACATCATCTCCCTCTCACCGATATTACTTAACAATTAAAATTAAAAAATTAATTACAATAAAAAAATTATTCTGCGCGCGCAGAAGAAAAAACAAAAAGCCTAGATTTTTCTATACTTTTTGCGTTAAAATTTAAAAAAGTCTAAAAGGGAGATGTAAAACAAGAACAGACATGTGCGTCTTACAATACTTCGACTGCCGAGTTATAAAAATTATTGAAGAAAGGATTCTGCCCAAATTAATAAAAAATTCTTTTAAATTATTCTGTAAGAAAAATGTGATAGCCTTCCAAAGAAGACTTACAGGGGGAAAGGTAAACAAGAGGAAACAGGGGCGTACAAGTTCGTTTTACGATATTTCGACTGTTGAGTTATACCTAATATTGAAGAAAGGATCCTGTCCAAATTAACAAAAAAAATTCTTTTAAATTCTTTAAGAAAAAAAAGGGATAGTCTTTTAAAAAAGTCTGGGAATAACAGGCAAGAACGAACACACACACACAGAAGCGTACAAATTTGTTTTATGATATTCTGTCCGTTCTGCGTTACAAAAATTATTGAAAAATGAAATATGCCTTGACAGAAGAGTAAATTTTTTTGTAGATTACGGTAAGGAAAAAAAAGATGATTTAACTTAGAAAAGGTTTTAACAAATAAGAAATAGTCGACTTTCTAAGTAAGAATATTTACAAAAAAAATATGGAGAATCTTAGTTATTAGCTAAACAAACTTAGGTGAAAGAAATAAGGAAACGCCCTTTTTAGCGTATTTTCGAGTGAATAAATAGTGTGTAGGTTGAAAATTTAACTCTAGTTTGGCTTCAACTTCTCGTTGTGTCGAACTCTTTTCCGAGGGCGTGCTTTCTATATATCTTATTGCGAGTGCGAAAAAAATGGCTCTTCGTGATTTATTATCTAAATTTTTTATAGTCGCTTGCAATCTTAATTAAAAATTGATTGCAAGAGACTATATACTGAAATTATCAGACGCGAAAATGAAAACAATTACAAAGTTTTCGAGAACTTTATGCGAGAGTACGTTACTATGCGTTATGCATAAACTGGGGCACTGTGATAGTGGTGATGACGCTAACAATCTCGCGGCATATAGAAGTGCGTGAGTGTTTCAATCATGAGGAGGATGACGCCGGTGGTCATATTGATGAGTTTCGTCATAGAATCAACGGTAACACAGGAGTAGGAGTAGGTAAGCTGAGCTGAAACAAAATTATACATTTTTAAAAAATATTTATTATTATTATTATTATTATTAATTAAATTATAATATTTATTTTCAGCGTCAAAACGTCAAGTGGCGCACGTTAATCCCGTGCAATTCGTGCGACGTGGGCGTCTGAGTCTGTGGCGACGATGACGTCACGCGGAGGATGAAGACGAGGTTGTTCGTGCGCGTAAGTTGGAAAAAATAAAAATATTGATTAAATGTTGGAAATTTCCTTTATTAAAAATATTTTAATTTTTTTTCTAGGAAGAGCGCGAATCGAACCGCCGAATAATGCGTCGCCTCCACGCAATGGACAAAGCATCCCTCTCATCGAAATAGGTAAGATATTTAAAACATATTCTACTGTGTGTAAAATATAGTTCATATAATATTACTGCAATAAGAAGAAAAATAAAAATATTTCTATTTTAGATGATGATGATGATGATGTTGATGACGAGGATAATGGAGATTCGCAGCGATCAAGGAACTCGTCAAATGCCATTATTTCAATGTTGTATAAGTTCAAAAAATCGATTAACGAAACATAGAGTCAGTTCTGGAAAAAAAGAAAAATAGCAGTAAAAATTACTTTCTAGTACGCGAAAATGAAGAAGAGGAAGAAGAAGAAGAAGAAGAAGAAGATGATGAAGAAGAAGAAACTGACAATGACATTTACGACTACGATGACGACGAAGACGCCGGTGATATCATTGATGAGGCGAACGAAGATATTACCAATGATACCGGCGACAAGGAAATCGATGATATGGTTGACGAAATTCTGGAGACACAGGACGTGACGCAGGAAGTCGAAGAAGAGGAGGGCTACAATTACGTCGAAGGTAATAATATTTTATTGTTTACTTTTAACCCGTTGTTTCGTGAAATTTTTTTAAAAGTTTTCTACTCACCGGTTTTACCGCGGTCGCTGTCACATTAGAGAGACTTCTTGAGCGAAAAAAATATCCCCGGCTCACGATCATATGAAGCAGCTAAAGGTGAGTTACCTTACTTTTCGGTTACATTATGACACGTGGAGGAGGGGGATAAGCTTTATGCATAATATAGCAAAGTCAACGAAATTTAAATAAAGATTTTGTTTATCTTTTCAGTACAAATTGGTGGTGGTGCTGTCCAGCCCTCAGACGCTCTCCCTTCGCCTTCACAAAGGGGAGATCGTCAACTAGTGTCACCCCCACGGTCCCGTCAGTCGACTCCAGCACCGTCGCCGTCGACATCACCGACACCTCGTCAGGCTCAAAATGAAGATCAGGAGAAGGAGCATCAGCAACAGGAGCAACGATGTTGGCAGCACGAGGTCAATCATTTTAATTATCAGGAGACGCGGTAGTGGCTCC